GTGAAAGTGCAGTCTAGATGGAGTCTTTCAAAAAAACAACAAAAAAAAAGAAACACACCACCCTTTTTCAAAAGAACCTGTACTCCCAGAAAAAAGTGAGTAGTACAGGTTCTTTTGAAAGAGGGTTTTTTCCCCCCCTAAAGAGCCCCATCTAGACTACACTTTCACTTTTGAAAAACCCTTTTTCGAAAAAGCGCTTGGATGCAAATATGCAAATGAAGCACAGGATATTTAAATCCGCACTTTATTTTCACTTTTGATTTGCTTCATTTACATTCCTCTTTTAGAAGAGGAATGTAGTCTAGACATGCCCTTTGAGAGTGGCCTTCAATTTTCTATATATGAGTTCCTTAGGGCAGAACCCCAACCCAAAGGAATAACCACGTTCCTGGTAAGTTAGGGATAGTAAAATGACATCGATGTTCATCTTCACAGTAATAGAACCCTTTTGTTTTTTAATATGATAGAGCCAGAGAGTCTGGTGTGGCTTTGGAAAGGACTTTTGGGACTTGTCTTCTTTAGGATGTGGAGCTCAAAATGAGGTGTATCTTGGAATCCTGGGAGACAGGATTTCCTACTAGGTCCCTATGCCCCCCCTGACGGGTTAGGGGGCAGAGAGAGAACTCATTAATACAGCCTAGGATGTAAGTCAGGATGATTAGACGATCTGCATCTTCTCCCATAGAGCTCAGAACCATCTTTAGAGTCTTGTGGCTCCATAAGCCTCCCCATCTTTGTTCTGCAGGGTTTCCTGGGACCTGTTCCCTAAGTCAAATAGTTAGTGTCATCCTTGCTTTTGGAGCCTCTCCCTGCCTCATTGGTGCTCCTGATCATTCCCCTCCCCCTCCCCCTACACCCACCCTCACATTGAAGTTGCAGCTGCCTTGGAAACTTGGTAGGGAACACCAACTGCCTGTGGAACTTGTAGCCTTAGGACATTACAAAATGTCCTAGGAATGGAATGCAGGGTGTACACAGCTGGCCCAACTGCCAAGCCTACCTCACAGATAGGACACAGCATGGATTTGAGATGCACTTTCTTGGTTGCTCTGTCTGAAAGAGACAGAGGACAGCTAGTGGGGGTTTCTGCTGAGGCAGAAAAATCTGTCAGCAAGCAGGAGCAGAGGAAAGATGGTGCCAAAATACTGATACACTTTCATGAACTGCAGAGAGAGGGAAGCAGCCCAGACATACAGAATTGTGGAAGATGCTGGGCTGCAGAAATACAAAATTCTACATTGTAAACAAGTGTCACTCTGGTTTTGCTTGATCAGACAGTCTCTCTGGAGTGGTTTTGCATTTCTAACTCACTCAGGCAAAACTCCCTTTGAAGTCAGAGATCCACTGAGCTTTACCAGAGTCTAAGGAAGAAACACTATTCTAAAACAATAGTGTGCACATTTTAAAATTAAGCAGCATATGTCAGCATCCTTATCTGCACATTAAGCATGCTATTTATTTTAAACATATAAACACTTCAGATGATTGAGTAGATATTCACACTAAGTAACAAGGCCCTTAACAGAATCCAAGTATTTGATGGATGCCGAAAAGATGAAGTGTGGAATGTAAACATGTGGCTAGTAAGCTTAAAAAATTAAATGTAAAATTCATTGCTAACGTAACAAGGGTGGGGAACCATTTTTCTGCTTGGGGCCCACTGATCCACAGAAGGGGAACCCCCCCCCCCAAAAAAACCCTACCCTCACAACCAACAATTAGTCAAGGGCCACACAAGTGAGAAGCAAAAACCAAACACACTTCCAAGGTGAAAGTGCTAAGCAACTCAAGCAGTCCCCCACTGGCCCGTGCTCCCCACAGTATTTCAAAGAGACAGTGACCCTGGGGCTCCATGCATCACTGCTGCTTTGAAATGCTGTGAGAAGCCCGGTATCAGGCTCCAAGTGGTGCTTCAAAGAGGCAGTACTGCATGGAGCCTGGGTTCAGCTGGGGAGTTCCCAGCTGGCCCCTGGCTGCATGCGGCGTTTCAAAGCGGCAGACCCCAGGCTGCGCATAGCACTGCCACTTTGAAGTGCCCCATCCTCCTCCCCCCCCTTGCTGCCTCTGATACAGGAAGCAAGGGGCAGTGGGTCAGGAAGTGGCTAGTCGACTAGTCAGTCATTTACATCCCCATTCTGAACCATCACCTATTTACTCCAGTATGGATGGAAGCCAAAATTTGAAGCTCTCCTGCTGTTTAAAGTATAAAAGGGAAAATTCCTTACTGGTAATTCAGTTTGTAAATGTCTCACCCATGCTCCAATGTTTCAGAAGAGTCCAGAAAGCAACAGATAATATTGATTATATTCAGTGCTGCAGAAGATTCAACATTCATGCGTGAGTCAGTTGACACACAACAGAAGGTAGTGCTGTGCTGCATGTTAGCAACAACTGCATCACCTACTAAGGAGAACCACTTTCCACAGAGACCCACTAGAAGGAAGGCCAAGAATAAGTTTTAGGTTGTAGGAAGATATGGACAAGGTCTCATGCCACAGAGACTGAACAGATACTTGTGTCACCAGCCACATAAGCTCTCTCAAGCAGCCCAAAGAAGTTCCTTTTCTCAGCCTGATGAGCAAGTGCCCTGAGCGGTTGCCAGCAGTAAAAGCTACATAACTGACGTCTGAACCTAAGAGGCAGAAGGGGAAAATCTGGAAAGCTAATTCTGAGTCAGAGGCCATGCTATAGCAATGGGAGACATAGGAAAACTGCCATTCCGAATCTACCCTATGATCCATCAAATCCAGTATTTTGTGTATGACAGCAGCTACACCAGATGCTTCAGAGGAAGGTGAAAACTCACACAGTTAGCCTTTCTAAGATATTGGATCCGAGAAGCATGAATACATACTCCCTACCACGGTGTTGCCTGAAAGCGTTCAGTGGTTTCATATGACTGGGCATATAGTTCTGAAGTGTATATCTGTGGAGGCAATCAGTTCAGAGAACGATTACTGGTATCTGTTTTGATGGACATATTAATTCCAGGATAGGGCAGACAGCAGTGCTAGGTTATTTTTATTGGAGGGGAAGGGTAGTGGTATGTAATCTTTCTGGAGAACACATGATTGACAGGCACATCAGTACTTACAAAACACTGGATTTAACCCATTTTGTATTTGTGTTTAAAAAAAAAAAAAAAGGGCTGACAGATTCTGGCAAGAGTAAGTCTACCAGAAGCTTGAGTACTGTGTCAGTCAACAAGAGAAGTATGGTCAAACGGGGAGGCAATGGGCACAGCTGACCAATGTGGAAATTAGCACAATTTGTGAGAAGCTACTGATTATGATGCTCCTAAGAAGTCCCAGACCAACTAAAGCCACCTCTCTTCCCCTCCGAGAGAAATAACCTAGCAGTGCTGTCTGCCCAATCCGGGAATGAATATGTCCATCAAAACAGATACTCAGGGAGAGGTCACAGTTTATACCCCCACAGGTGTAAATCTGGCTGCAAATACTTCAATGTTTTCCATTCAAATGCATGTTTCACTTTCATATTTAGCAGCCAAAGCTTTACATATAGCAACAGTAAGTCTTTTAAATGGAAATTTTTAATTCAGTTGTTCAACAACAAATTCTCTCTCAATTACTACTTCTGCTTTGACAATACATGCTTCCAAAGATCTTGAGCATTAAAAAGATCTACTCCTGTTATATTGCTACAGGTTTACAGTAATAGACCTAGCTAAATAACGTTTATGCTTACTAAAATAATTCACACGGGATTTACCCACTGAATCTTAAGTCAGTAAATTAAGTACATTTTCTACTTTTCTTATTAAAATATTTTAGATGACCACATTTGACAGATGCTCATACCCTCTTACAATATTTGCAATTTTTCTTTGTGACAAAACATGGTAATTTGAGAGAACCATCTCTTTTCATAGTAAAAGTGAGTTATATAAAATGTACAAAATGTATAAAAATGATAAATATAAGGAGACCTTATAAAGAAGTATAAAAAAATCGTATCAACTCAATTTCCACATGGAAAAAAACTGAACACAGGACCATCTCCTGTGATCTGTATGTTGTACTATGGAAATAAAACAGCACAAAAAAGATCAGTGAAGAAGTCAGATTCATTCTCTTGACAATGCAGGATTGTTTTGCCAATTGGGAAAACAGACACTAAATTAAAAAAAAAGTTGAACACTCTCTGAACGCAATTAGATGGAAGCTGCTTTTATCTCTATTCATAATGTGGCACTGCTGGAATAAAACTGATTTAAGTTTACTCTTTCCTCTTTCAGCTCTTATTAATGGACTGTCCAAAATAGCTACTCATCAGATTAAAAAAGTGTACCTGTGTCAGTTTTTGACACGAATTGCAGAAGGAAGAACACTTGGTAAATATTTCTCAATTTTTTCTCATTTTTTAATGTTATTCTGATGTTAAAAGATTATTTAGATGATAAACTTCTCTCCACTAACTTGGTATGGTGCATCAAGAGAGTTCTTCCTTTCCTTCCACCATTCCTTTATCCCCACTTTTCTTAATAACTGTGAATAATTAAATAGCTTTTCTTAGGCATATTTAAGGCATACCGTATATTCCGGCATACAAGACGACCTCTGAAGTTAAAAAACATCCCCCAAAAATCGGGGGAGCCGCGGAGGGGCTCCGGAGGGGGGTCAGCCCATGCGCGCCTGGGATGCCCCGCCGCCGGCTTCCCCCAAGGCTTTCAAAGCCGCGGAGGGGCTCCGGCGGCGGGGCATCCGGCGTACAAGACGACCCCCGATTTTTGGGGGATGTTTTTTAACTTCAGAGGTCGTCTTGTATGCCGGAATATACGGTATGCCTTAAATATGCCTAAGAAAAGCTATTTAATTATTCACAGTTATTAAGAAAAGTGGGGATAAAGGAATGGTGGAAGGAAAGGAAGAACTCTCTTGATGCACCATACCAAGTTAGTGGAGAGAAGTTTATCATCTAAATAATCTTTTAACATCAGAATAACATTAAAAAATGAGAAAAAATTGAGAAATATTTACCAAGTGTTCTTCCTTCTGCAATTCGTGTCAAAAACTGACACAGGTACACTTTTTTAATCTGATGAGTAGCTATTTTGGACAGTCCATTAATAAGAGCTGAAAGAGGAAAGAGTAAACTTAAATCAGTTTTATTCCAGCAGTGCCACATTATGAATAGAGATAAAAGCAGCACAGAATTTGTCTACCAGATTAAAAAGTACTTCAGTTTCCTAACCAAACTAAATGCTTTAAAAAAAACCCCACCACACACACCTATTAGCAGTCATTTTCAAAAATTGCATTAGTAATTGGCGTACTTCTACATTACAAAAGGAGGTAATAAAGTTCATATTAAGACAGAGGATGTGACTTGACATTTACAGCAGCAAAATAAAAGTGATGGAGCACACCATAGGTTCATAATCTGTAAAATATGTAGTTAAATTCAGAATATTACATGTAAATGAAAGCTTTTGTTTTGCTCAGAATCTTAAGTGAGATGAATAAGAACATAAGAATGGCTATACTGGGTCAAACCAAAGTATCCTGTCTGCCAACAGTGGCCAATACAAGATGCCCCAGAGGGAGAGATCACAACACGTAATCCTCATGTGCTCCAAAAAGTCCATCCCAACTCCAAAGATCTCACAGTATCCCATTGTTTGGGGGGAGGGGAGGAGAGTTCTACAGCCTATGTATACAGTCAACTTAGATGATCACAATGGTTCCTTCTGGCCTTGGAATCTATGGATCTCCTTGTTATTAAGCACAAAGCTTAAGAATATAAGGCACTCTGTGTTTAAATACATAAATAGACTAAGCTAACTTAACTCACTTAACTTAACTCACATGACATCTATATTACTACTCCAGCCATTTCTCATAATGCTAAGAATAAGATATGCAGCCAAAAAGGAAGTAAAAAGCATGGCATATATTTAATGAAACCTATAATACTATTTTACAACACATCCAGAATAAATATTTCATAGCATGCTGATACAAGCTTTCTATGAATGGCTATGGTACTTTAAAATAAATATGGCAATGTTCAGTATCATTATAGCTAATTACAACTATTATACTTTGCATGCAACAAAACTATTTAGAGCAGGGAGGAGTAGAGAGGATTCCTTGGGAACCTATGAAAATTAGACAAGTGGAAGATGAATTTCAATGTTCACAAGGGAACAAACATTGTGGAAGAAGTAATTTAAGCTACTATTATGCATTACTAAGTGCTAAATCAGTGGTCTCCAACCTTTTTACACCCAAGATCACTTTTTAAATCTCCGAACAGGCGAAGATCTACCCCCCACCTTTCTTGAAGCCCCACCCCTTTCTTGAAGCCCCACCCTCTCTATTCTCCTCCTGTCCATCATTTGCTATCCCAAACCCTTACTTACACACTCTGATAAACAGTTTATTTTTAAATTATGCAATGTATAAAATTAAAATCACGTGTTTACAGTTATGAAATAAATGGTCTGTTTTTTATTCATGCTATTTAAATCTAAAATGAAGCATTTATAATTATACATTTTGTGGGGTCAGAGTTCTGAGGCTGGGGGCAGGGGAGAGGGAACAGGAGGGCAGAGGACAGGATTCTGCAGCAGGGGAACCTGGTTGCACTTCTCTACCTGATTAGGTGTAAAATGTTAATGTATAAGTCCCCAACTTATAAATGAACATTTGGGACATAACACATTCATAAGTTGGTTGTTTGGATTTCTAAATGCAGGATTCTGTCCGGTGCCAGTGGGGACAGAGTTCGGGGAGTAGGGACGGGAATGGGGACAGAGTTCTGTAGCTGGGGACAGGGGAGTGGGGACAGAGTTCTGCAGCAGGGGATAGGGTGCCAGTGGGGACAGAGTTCGGGGAGTAGGGACGGGAATGGGGACAGAGTTCTGTAGCTGGGGACAGGGGAGTGGGGACAGAGTTCTGCAGCAGGGGATAGGGTGCCAGTGGGGACAGAGTTCGGGGAGTAGGGACGGGAATGGGGACAGAGTTCTGTAGCTGGGGACAGGGGAGTGGGGACAGAGTTCTGCAGCAGGGGATAGGGTGCCAGTGGGGACAGAGTTCGGGGAGTAGGGACGGGAACCCCTGCGGGCACCTGCCCCAGGGCCAAACCCCCCTTCCACAGCGTGGCCCGGCCAACCCCCATGGGCACCTGCCCTGGGGCCAACCCCCTCCTGCAGCATGGCCAACCACCACGGGCGCCTGCCCCGGGGCCAAACCCCCCTTCCACAGCGTGGCCCGGCCAACCCCCATGGGCACCTGCCCTGGGGCCAACCCCCTCCTGCAGCATGGCCAACCACCACGGGCGCCTGCCCCGGGGCCAAACTTCCCTTCCTCGGCACGGCACAGCCCAACGCAGCCAAACCCCGGGGCCAACCCCCACTCCCACAGCGCAGGGAAACTACTGGAACCCCCAGAAGTGGCGCAAAGCTGCAGGCAGGACTTCTGTCCACGCTGGAGGTAGGTAGTGGGGCTTCTCGAGAGTGGGGGGAAAAAATGGAGAGTGAGGGGTCCCGAATGCCTCACAAATCGACTGGTTGAGGACTCGCAATCGACCAGTTGATTGCAATTGACCGGTTGGTGACCACGGCCCTAGAGTGAACCATAAGCATTTGTAACCTGGAACAAACTTGTAAATGTGGCGTTCCACCAAAAGTGTGTTCAGAACCTCACTATAAGCATTTGTCATTTAGCTAAAAGCCCTGAGCTAGTTTTCCATGGGAAAGTGAACTCTTCCATGGGAAAAGCAAGATAACACATCTGAGCTGCCAGTCTCACTTCTGCCTGAAGAGAGGAAGCAAAATTGATAAGCACCTTCCACAGCAACAGAAATGGCCCACTGAAGTTCTCTAAGGACGTAAGTTCCTTAGCAGCTGGAGTCCCCCACTGACTCCAGGCCCTAAGCAGTGCTGTTGCTTTGAAACACTGCAGGGAACCCAGCATCAGGCTCCATGCAGCGTTTCAAATGTCATCACTGGGGCCTGGTGACAGCTGGGGAGTCCCCAGCTGATCCCAGGTTCCACATGGTGCTGCCGCTTTGAAATGATGTGTGCAGCCTGGGGACACCACAGCTTGCCCTGGGCTGCACGTGGCATTTTAAAGCAGCAGCGTCACATGGAGCTCGGGGTCCAGCCCCAGGCTCCATGCTGTGCTGCCACTTTGAAGTACCCCTCTTCTTCCGCCTCCTTGCTGCCTCTTTCTGATAGACTAGTTGACTATCCAATAAGCATTTGCTTATCAAATAGTTGACCAGTTGTTCACTTCTCTACCTGGTTAGGCGTAAAATGTTAATGTAAAAGTCCCCAACTTATAAATGAACATTTGGGACATAACACATTCATAAGTTGGTTGTTTGGATTTCTGAATGCAGTTTCCCATAGAAACAATATTATAAATGTCAGTTAGGTTCCCAGGCTAGTTCATAAAAGCCTATTCAACCCGTATTGTAGCTGAAACTCTATTTGCAATGAAAAATTGAAAGCTTATTTAACCTTGAATGCTGGTGCTTGAGGAAATGGAGGTTTAATTAGAGGCTGAAGAGGTAGGTAGAGAATCCAAAGGGGACTTCTAGGAATCCTTAGCACCTATGACCCATGGGCTGTGCACCACCCCATCCCCCATCTTCCACCCCATCTTCTGCAGGCTGTATCCAAACCCTTCTTACCTGGATGTGGTGAGCAGCATGAGCACAGGCTGGAGGATTGGGGGCAGCTGTGCAGCTGGCGAGAAGTAGTAATTCCTCCTTCAAAGCATCACTTCTTTCTAACTGCTGACTGCACAATGGCCCCCTGCTCTTCCAGAGTCCTTCAGCCAGCACTGTGCTGCTCGCTACCACCTGTGCCTCTTGCCTGCTCCCCTGAGGCTGCAGGTGAGCTTTTGTTTGTATGAGCAGTAGGGATGTAAGTGAGTAGTTGATTGGCATATCTACTACTCACTCCGCCCCCCACTGCCTCAGAGTCAGCAAGAGGAGGCGAAGAGAAACAGGAACCAGTGCAGGTACCCTACTACCATCTCTGAGGTGCCACCTGTCCATCAGTCCCGGCTGCCTCTAAGAGGCAGAGGGAGGGTGGAGTAGGGGAGGCTCTGCCCACAGCTGGCCAAGGTTCCTTATTCACTACATGATTATATAACCACAATTTAACATCCTTAATGAGCAGATGTTTGTAAGTCAGATGTTTGTAACTTGGGAGTGCCCATATGTGGAGGAAAGGTAGGTTGAGAAGAGGAAGAGGTAGGTGGCAATTTTGAAGGGAACTTCTGGGCTACTAACTCTTCAGAAAGACAGACACTGTCAGGACTCGCTCTTAGCTCTGGAAGGGAAACAGGTCTAATAGGTTACAGCAGAAGCAGATACATCAGGGTTCTATAAGAACATCAAAATGGCCCTACTGAGTCAGATCAATGGTCTTATCTAGCCCAGTGGCCGCTGCTGTTGGAAGACAAGACAATGCCAGGTACTTCAAAAGGAATGAACAAAAGAGGCAATCAAATGATTGTTGCCCATCCCCAGCTCCTGGCAAATAGAGTGCAGGGATACTATGTCTGCCCATCCTGCCTAGCAGCTGTTGGCTCGGTGCCGCAGGAAGGTCTATCTTGCCCATATCCTGTCTTCCAACAGTTGCCATGACGGGCAGCAGGTTTAAATCAAACAAAAGGCAGTTTTTCTTCACTCAGTGCACAGCCAACCTGTGGAATTCCTTGCCAGAATATGCAGTGAAGACTAGAACTTTAACAGGGTTCAAAAAAGACCTAGATAGATTCATGGAGATTAGGTCCATCGATGGCTATTAGCTAGGAGGGGTATCCCTAGCCTGTTTCTCTGGAGGTGGGTGACAAGGGAGGGATCACATGAGGATTACCTGTTGTGATTCCTCCCTCTGGGGCATCTGGTATTAGCCACTGTCGGCAGACAGGATACTGGGCTAGATGGGATCTTTGGTCTGACGCAGTATGACCCTTCTTATCTTCATATAGGGACATTAATAAGTGGGTAATTGGGTAGGCAGGCAGGCGGAAGCCAGTCTGGGCTATTAAGCAGCTTTTAAGCTGGCTCCTGGTGTGCACCAGCTCCCAGAGAGCTAGCTGCTGCCCCACACTGCCAGTGGGTGTAACTGCTGAATTTTTCAGTGGTTACATGGTTACTCAATTACCTGCTTTTTAAATATTACCTACTCTGTATCAGCATGCAGCAGCATGGGACAGCAGTCAGTTGCCTGCTGCCAGAGCAGGCTGTGGGTGTATGTAACTGCTGTTTCTGAGTAGTTACCCAATTACCTGCTTTTTACACCCCGCCTCATACACAGCGACCCTGAATCCTGTACCCCACACATACCCACTCCTTCTTTGAGGGCCCTCCCCCCACTTACAGGCTCTGTTATATCACAGCCCCCCTTCCGCCCTGAGCCCCCCCCCAAGGCTGCAGCCGAGTATCTCACTAGCAGGCCCACTAGTGGCAGCTGGGGCTGGCTCTGCCCCATACGGCGGGCTCCCAGAGGCCCGAGCGGGGCGGGCTCTGCGCGGCCAGGCGCACGCGCAGCGGGGAAGCGCCCCACGGCAACACGCGCCGCCTAGGCCGGGCCAGATACAGGGCACGAGGCCGCAACCCGCCCCCGCCCTTCTCACCCTGCGCCGTGTCCCGGCTCCGCTCGAAGTCCCGCGTACGCCCCTCCCGGAAGTGCCGGCACAGCGCGTAGCAAGTGAAATCCAGCATCCAGCCCGCGGCTCCAGCCTCCCCCTCCGCCAGCAGCGCGGGGGACAGCGGGCCAGGGGGACTCCGCGCCCCCGCCTCCTCCTCCGCGCCCCCGCGGGCCCGCGCACCGCCCAGCTCCGCCTCAGCCCCGCTTTCCATTTTCAAATCCGCCGCCGCCAACCGCTTCAGGCCCCGCCTCGCCAGCGACAACAGCACAGAGTGGGAGAAATCTGTGCGTCACCGCTTGGCTCAGGCTCCGCCTCTTCCGCCTTGCAAACCCCACACCCAATTTGCGTCAGGTCCGTGCCCGTAAATGTTCCCGCAGCAGAGCCTTTTCCGCCCTCACTAACGTCACTTCCTGTCGCGGGACTTCACGCCTTCAATCAATAAAACTCCCGTGCGCGGGGCTTTGATTGGCTAGGTAATGCTACTGGGGTGGGATCTGGGAGGCTCGAGACGTCACACGTGGCTCCCTAGATTAAAGAGCCCTCTGCTGTCAGAAATCTTTTCCCTAGGTGGTTACTTGTAGGCTGCAATCAAGTCATTGTTTAATCGTTTCATTGATAAATATATAGAGATTCTTAAGTTTCTGGCTTTCTAGACTTACAATAATTTCTGTAGCTCCTTTTACAAATCTTTTCCCAGTTGGGTGCATGCATGGATAAGTGGGGAAAATTACATTTGAACGGGTAGCGCTATATCTAGCCCTTTAACGTGTGAGTGCTCCTAAGTAAGATTCTTGTAACATAGATGTATTTTGTTTTCTTTGTAATTGTGTGTAACTTGGGAACATGCAATAAAAAAGTAGTTTAAGATAAATTAAAGCCTAGATTCTTCACTCTTTGTTGTGTTCCTACAGACTCTCTGTTGGCAAAGCTATGCAAGAAGAGCCACCTACTGGAGATACCGTGTAAACCAGCAGGAGTTCAGCTTAGAACATACCTACAGGCATAGAACAGCCTACAGACACACTTTTCTGTCAGCATAATTTTGTTTCATTTTATGTATCAGAGGGGTAGCCGTGTTAGTCTGAATCTGCAAAAGTGGCGAGGAGTTCTGTGGCACCTTATAGACTAACTGAAGTGTTGGAGCATAAGCTTTTGTGGGCAAAGACCCACTTCGTCAGATGCATGTAGTGGAAATTCCTTTTCCTTTTGTTTTAGCAAGATCATGGCTACCTCTCTATTGTTGGACTAGTGAGTCAGAGACAAAGGAGACAAATGCACAATCCATTTGAACTGGGATGGTTACTCATGGGGGTATGAACTCTGGTTGTGGTATTTTCCCTAGCTAATGCCATGTGACTTCTCTCCCTCTTTCATTAAAAGTTTATTTTCTACGCTCAGACTCTGTGCTTGCGAGTGGGGAAGCATTGCCTCCCAGAGGCACTCAGGGGTGTGTGAATTTCCCAGGCTACTGGGTGGGGGCTCGAGTCGGTTCTGTGTGAGATGGATGAAAAGGAACCCCTAGATATTAAACCTGGTCCTGGATGCTGCCGGCACTACCTGGCAGAAGGATTACAAAACTATGGACCAGTTTCTGATCAGTCATATTGGTGCAATAGAGAGTATCTCCATTGACTTCAGTGGAATTATTACCAATTTACACTGTTGTTACTTAGACCAGAATCTGACCCTAGATCATGAACATTTCCATGAAACGGTTAAGAACATCCCAAACTGTTCTTGTCTAGAAGACAGAAATTCCAGCAGTTCTAGTGTCTGTAATTTACATTCTTTGCTTGGTTTGCCAGGAACTAACAGCTAGGAAACTGTACCTCCTCAGGAAAATAAGGTGCTGAAACTATTGTGATTTTCTGGCTTCACTGGTTAGCGTAACACTGTGTTAGAAGGCTTGAGGGAAAGTAAGGGTTTGGGGAATGGCACTACATTATATCGTGAAAGCATCGAAAATGATGACAGAGGGAAGAGACAGACTTATCCAGCTACATCTAAAAAATGTAGAAAGGATCAAAGATTGAAGTAATCCCCGAGGATGCAAAGCATGTAATGTGAATAATTGGATAAAACTGAATGTAGTGTTGGAACAACATGTTGCCAAATGAAGAAAGAATATTTTTCTGTCATTTAAAAGTATAAAACTGATACAGTTCCTTTTCACTAAGTGCCAATCAGCAAAAGCTTAATCTTTGTGAAAGATGATATTGCAGAAAGTATACTGAAATATATGAATAACAAAGGGGTTCACTCTAAGACAAATATCAAATGAATGTCAAAATAACGTTAATACATTCAGGAAGCTACACAGTGGTGTTCCCTCTAAACTGGGAGGCAGCACAGCTTCACAGGTGATTAATCAGCCCTGCCCAGTCAATCAGCTCCATCTGCTACACAGGTGATATGTTGACACTATATGGAAATTTTAGGTGGGGACAGAAAATGTAATTTAGCCAAAAACTCCCTTTCAGTTTTCCCTTTTGGGAAATTTTCAAGTGAAACTTTTTTCACACGTAGTGATATTGTCTACACAATTCATACAGTGCTACATATTTTAAATCTTCTTGGGTGAAGCTAAGCATTCAACAACATTATGGAAAATCCATAAATATGTTCTTTTTATTGTTTATCGCTAGAAAATTGATTTTGTTTGCTAACTTCTTTGTTACTTATAGTGACTAAAATCTTATTTTTTATCACGTTCAAGATCTAGAGCTGGCCCATTAGTTACTTTTTTTAAATACTGAGTAACCTTTCTCCTAGTAGTACATTTTTCCAGTATTTTATAAGGTACACATTCTGGAGCCACTTTAAGACCTGTAATAAACTGGCCTTTCATAAGCTATCCCAGTGGGGACAGACACTGGCAGAATTTTCTCTGCAAGGTAGGGAGAACCAGAGCAGCTGTTCTATAGCTGCCGCCATAAGAAATTTGCAACTTCAGAAGCCAGGACTGACTAGATTTTGATTTCTTACGTCTTTATAAGCTGTTGGTATTAGAAATTATTAATATGGGTGACAACCAGATATTAAAATTATACATTTATTTATGAAGTCCAAATTCCAAATGTGTAGGATTGTATATAAACTTTTACTAAAACAAAACAGCTGTCTTTTTTAACCTTCATAGATCATGGTTTCTAAACCTTTGATCATTTTTGTTGTCCTCCTCAGGACAATCTCCAAAGTATGCACATCAATTCTAGGCATCATACTTCAAAGAAAGGATGCAGTACTCCAGTTGAGGTCTGATCACTGCTGACTGGAGTGGGACAAATTATCTTCTGTCTCTTTAGTATGACAACCTGTAAAACGCCTCTCAATGATATTAGTCTTTTTCACTAGTGCATCATGTTGTTGACATATTCAATTTGTGATCCTCTATAACTCCCCATCATTTTCAACAGTTTACCACCTAGCTAATATTCCACATTTTGTAATTTTGCAATTAGTTTTTCCTTTTTCAATGTGGTACTTTGTACTTGTCTTTACAGAACTTAACCTTGTCTATTTCAGACCAATTCTCTAATGTTTCAATTTGGTTTGAATTCTAATACTGTCCTCCAAAGTGCTTGCAACCCCTCCCAGCTTGTCATCCATACATTTTATAAGCATACTCCTCATTCCATTATCCAAGTCATTGATTAAAATATTGAAAAACATCTATTCCTGGACTTTCTCCTTAGTGCTCTCCTGGATATACCCTTCCATTTAGATACAGAGCTACTGATAACTGCTATCTGAGTACAGTCTTTCAACCAGTTGTGCACCTACCTTATAGTAATTTCATTTAGACCATATTTCTCTGAGAATGTCATGTGGGACTGTGTCAAAAGCCTTACTAAAATCAAGATTTACCATATATCCTGCTTCTCCCAATCCACTAGCTCAATAATTCTGTCAAAGAAGGAAATTAGCTTGGTTTAACATTATTTGTTCTTGGCAAATCCATTCTGGCTATTCCTTTTAACGCTATTTTCCTCTAGGTCCATGAAGTCCAACACTCTAGCCCAAGGGCGGGCAATACTTTTTAATAGGGAGGCCACTCCAAGATTTTGGTAAGTGGTCAAGGGCCACACTTCTGCGGAGGAGTAACGAGGTCTGGGACAGTGGGTGGGGTATAGAAGGGAGCTTGGGATAGAGGACTGGGGTGCAGGAGGGAGTGTGGGGTCTGAGAGGGAGTTTGGGTGAAGGAGGTGGTTATAATCTGGGGCAAGGCTTGGGGTGCAGGGTCTAGAAGGGGTTATGGATGGTAGGGATGTTAAATTTAGATTAATAGGCAAATCAAATAGTTAATGCAATTTGCATTGACTATTCAATTAGTCTAAAAGGGAACCTCGCCTTTGAAGTGTAGCAACAGTCCCAAGGCTGTTGCTACACTTCAAAGGTGAAAGCGATGCAGGGAGCTCTGGGCCAGCAGGGGACTGGTTGAGTCCCCCGCTGGCCTCTTGCTCCCCACTGTGTTTCAAAGCAGCATTGCTGCATGGAGCCAGGGTCAGCAGGGGAGTCCCCAGCTGAACCCGGCTCCATGCAGTGCTGCCTCTCTGAAGTCTCCCCTCCTGCTCCCTTGCTGCCTCTTTCTGATGGCGGGGAAGCTACTAGTAGACTAGTGTATTGACTATCTGATAAGCTTTTGCTTATCAAATAGTCGACTAGTCTTTCATATCCCTAATGCAGGCATGTCCAAAGTCCGGCCCGGGGGCCAATTGCGGCCCGTGTTCCGGTTTAATACGGCCCCCCGGGTAATTTGGCAATATCTATCTTTTATGGCCCCCAATGAATCCATATGTATTGAGATGAATACATTGTAAAATCTCAGTTAAAGTCAGTTGGTCTAAATCAGTTATAAATATATTTGGACACAACATGTATACTTGGTGTTATGTTCCTGTTCATATTTTTTGAACTTAAAAGTTGACAGACAACCTTTATTACCAATAATATGTAATGTACTTTACAATGTTCCTGACATATATTTCAGCTTCCTGGATTTTTTTTTTCATCTGGCCTTCAGATATGAAAGGCAGAGTGATTTAACACCTGTTTAGATTTGTCATCCATGTGACGAAATGAAAAGTATGCCGTTTGCAATAAACTTTGCATAAAATAGTTAATTTGCATTTAATTTTAATGGTTCAAAGAATGTCAGGCAAAATGGTCGGCCCTCATGCATGTTCACTTCATCAAATCTGGCCCTCTTTGAAAAAAGTTTGGACACCTCTGCCCTAATGGGTGCAGGAGAGGATTCTGGCCTGGGGGACGGTTGTAGGAAGGGGAGCAGGGTCTGGGAGGGAGTTGTGACCTGGGAGAA